AATCTCCAATATCATTTCTATCACCAACGCCATATTTTCCAACTACTGTTCCTTGCTCTTTGTTTCCAACTTTTGCATACCAATCACCATATCTTAATTAGATGTTTGGTCAATTTCAGACAGAAGAAGTTCATCACTGGTTTAGTGATTGTTGTGTACATTTGAATCATAGTAATATTAACTGGTAAGCCTTGTCAGTGTATGGATGCTATCCTACCACACACAGCATACACTTAAAGATGGATCTTGAAATGTTATTATTTTTTTTAATGTTTTATTGTGAATTATGTGATAGTTTACATGGGAGAACATCAGTCTTACATTCATTCTATTTCGTTGCCATGGTTACAATCCCCTCCATTGCAATCCTTCCCCCGTACCCCCAGGTCTTCAGCACACAGTTGCTCTCCCTCTCTGGATCTAAAGTCTCCAGCTGCCTCATCGTTCCGCGTCATCATCTCTGGCTCCATTTCAGGCATCACTGCTTCTCTAGGTAGGGTCCCGCTCTCTGCTCTTCTTGGTCCTAGGGATGTCCGCTCCTAGACTGAAAAGTTAATCACTCCCCTCCTTGCTGTAAAACATCCACCTTTACATTTCCGACCCTCACAAACAGTCCTGATAACAATTATTCACTATTGTATCACAAGAGACCTGTCTGTATTGAAATGTTATTTTTGCTGATGAATCGTCAAATTACACTATTCTTCTTCAATTTGTTATTCTTGGCATAGTAAACCATATGACTGTCAGATTTGGAATGACCAGTACCAGTCCATTTTAGTACACTAATACCGAGGATATCAATTTTTATGGGTTCCATTTCATTTTTGACAATTTCCAGTTTTCCTGGATTCATTCTTCATATATTCCGATTATTGATGGATGTTTGCAGTGGTTTCTCCTCATTTTGAGTTGGTTCCCATCAGCAGACGAAGGCCCCTAAAGCTTACTCTGTTCGCACCATTGCAATAAAGAGATGGGAGAAGTGGAGTCTAATCTCATTCTTAAGATAACTGAAATGGTTTCTAACTAAACAGTTATTGTAGAGTCGATTGTGACTTAGGGCAACTTCTTGCATGTCGTAGTAGTATTGTACTCCATGGAGTTATTTATGGCTGATTTTTTTAAAGTAGATCTCCAAGCTTTTCTACCGAGGTAACTTTGGGTAGACTTAAACTTCCATCATTTCAGTTAGGACATTTAAATATCTTTAAACTATGAACTATCTTTTAAATGTTATGATGAACTTTTGAGAAAAAAAATTTGTGGCAAAATATTAATAAAATTGCTGTTTTAACCATCTTACGAGAACAGTTGAGTAATAATAATTACATTCACAATGTTGTAAAATTCTCATTATTATCTATTTCCAAATATTTTCATCACTTTTGTTGTTGCTGCTGCTAAGTGGCCCTTTAGTTGGTTCCGACTCATAGTGACCCAGTATAGGGTTTCCGAGGAGTGGCTGGTGAGTTTGAACCGCTAACCTTGTGATTCAAACCAGCTTTTCAGTCCAGTGCTTTATCCCACGTGCTATAGCAGGACTCCACCTTACCCTATAACCACTACTACATTTTTGTCTTTCTGATTGTGCTTATTCTAGATATTTCATATAAGTGAGATCATACCATATTAGTCCTTTTGTGATTTATTTCACTTTCTGTAATGTTTTTGCATTTTCTAGGAGCCCTGGTAGCGTAGTGGTTGTGAGTTGGAATGTTAACCATGAGGTCAGCAGTTAATATCTACCAGACGCTCCATGGAGAACCATAAGGCTTTCCAAAGACAGCATTATACTCCAAGATAGATCTTGAGATGATCTTTTTGATGATGAATGTGACACCATTCCACTTCAGTGTGTCATTCCCGGTGTTTTAGTTCTCTAGTGCTGCTATAATAGAAATACCACAAATGGATGGCACTAACAAACAGTTTAATATGCTAGAAGTCCAAATTCAGAGCACAGGCTCTGGAGAAAGGTCCTTGTCTCTTCAGGAGCCATAGACTTAGCATTCTTGCAGATCTTCGTGCATCTCGGCATCAATCTTTCCCTAGATCTAGAAACTTCACAGTGCTGGGACCCCAGGTCCAAAGGTCACACCCCACTCATGGCTCTTCCTTGGAAGTTGTCCCTCTTTCTCTGCTCACTTCGCTCTGCTTTTGTCTCTCGAAGATAAAAGGTGTTGCAGGACACACTTCTGAGAAAACTTCTTTTCAACTGATTGGCTGCTCATAGCAGATCTTATAATGGAGACAGTTACATCATACTGCACATCATCATGGTAGATTACTACGTCTTAACTGCTAAACAACTGAGAATCCTGGAGCAGTCAAGTTGACACAATATCTTAATTATCACATCCCACATAATAAACCATATGATTGTCAAATTCAGAATGACCAATACGTTGCCATTTCAGCTCATTAATGCTTAGTATATTGATCTTTATGTGTTCCATTTCTTATTTGAAGATTTATAATTTTCCTAGATTCATACTTTCCACATTCCAGTTACTAATGGGTGCTTGCAATGGTTTATTCTCCTTTTGAGTTGTGCCCCACAAGCAAATAAAGGATCCAGAAGCTTTGCTCTATCCACATCCTCTACTTTGAGGAGCCAGCTCTTCCTCAGTTGTGTTTTGAGTGCCTTCCAACCTGAGAGGCTCATCTTCTGGCATGATATCATACAACATTTAGCTTCTATTCTTAAAGTTTTTAGGAGCTAATCCTTCAAAAGTAGACCTCCTATTCCTTCTTCTTAATCTGGAAGGTCCACTGACACCTATCCACTATGGTTGACCCTGCTGGTATTTGAAACAACAGTGGCATAGCTTTCAGCATCACAGCAGCATGCAAGCCACCATAGTACAGCAAACTAACAGATGTGTGGGTATCTGGGAAATAGCTCAAGGATGTTTTACAGAAATGAAAATATGAGTTTTGAGGCTGAAAAGGCTTGATGAATGTCCAGTAAAATAGTAGGGAATATTGTAAATTTTTAGAGTATAGGGGGCAAAGACAAGATCTTATAAGCTTAAAGGGAGACGGAAGAGAAAAGTCACATAGAGAGACCTGGTATTGAAGTAACTGGACTTGGTATTAACTCTGACATCTAGATGCTTTGCTTTGAAATTCTGGGAGAAGATGATTTTACCATAGACTAGAGACTCTGGTAGCGTAGTGGTTACGAATCGGGCTACGAACCTTAAGGTTAGCGGTTCAAAACTACCAGCCGCTCCGCGGGAGAAAGATGAGGCTTTCTACTCCCGTAAAGATTTACACCCTCGGAAACCCTGTACAGGGTCACTATGGGTCGGAACCGACTCGACGGCACTTAACAACAACAACAACAGAGACTCGACGGCACTTAACAACAGCAACAGAGATCAATTATATTGGAAATTTGGGGAAGAGGAGGTAGAAGACTATGAAAGATAATCCTCATAGGTCATAAAAAAAGTTATTAGACATTGTTTAAATTGGATAAATTAAGAAATAATATTAGCATATCATTTAGAATTATGGCAGACTCTACTAGAAGAAATCTTTGAAAGAGTTAAGTGTGGTTGTCTTCAGGGAGCTGTACAGGTTGGTTGGTGAGAGGTGTGTGGTTGATGCCTGTTGGTTTTCACATTTGGCCTTTTGTTGCCCTATACTTTAAAAATGTATAGACAAGAATTTGTTTATTTTTTTAAAAATTAACTCAGATGCTTTTCATTAGTATTGTAGGAGGTTCAGATGGGATCATAGACATGAAAAAAAAAAAAATCACAAAGAGTAGGGATGTAGGTATTGTGGTGGTTGTTACATGCCTTCAAGTCTGTATAGGGTTTCTGAGGAGTTGTTGGTGGGTTTGAATTGCTGATCTTATGGTTCAAATCAACCTTGCAGTGCAATGTATTATCCTATAGCACCACACCAGAACTCCTCCCTTTATGGTGGTGGTGGTGGTGTTTTGTTCTTTATGATAGGATCTGAAAACTCACATTGAAAACAAGACATGGGGGATTGGGCTATTTCTGCAGTTGATCTGGCACATCATTGAAGCCAAATATGGTTTGTGGTGTGTTTTTTTTCCAACTTTGTAATGTGAATTGAGTGAAGGTTTACAGAGCAGATCATCAGTTATACATTCAACAAATCAAATACTGAAGCCAAATACGTTTATCCATCAGTTTGGAATAAGAATATAGAAAGACATCAAAAGATCAATGACTGAAGTTGTTTTCTTTTTCCTTTGTAGACAACAAGGGAGATGTCAGAGTTTTAAATTTAGATCAGCAACTTCAAAATCTTACCATGGAAAATTCAGAGAAGACAGAGGTGGTTCTCGTTGCTTGTGGTTCCTTTAATCCCATCACCAACATGCACCTCAGGTTGTTTGAACTGGCCAAGGACTACATGAATGGAACAGGTAGGAATGGTAACCAAATGCAACTTAAAACTAGAGAGCCAATATGACGGGATCAATTTTAGTATATGTTTGGTCAAATGAGCAAAAATATGCTGCCCTGATTCCTTGTTCAGAGAATTAACCAAGAAAGAGGATGAAATATGTCCAGTTAAGAATTAAGTATTGGGCTAATGGCCTGTTGTTGTTGTTAGTTGCCATTGAGTTGGTACCAACTATTAACAACCTTTTCACAACAGGATAAAACACTGCCTGGTCCTGTGCCAACCTCACAATTGTTGCTACGCCTGAGTCCATTGCTGATTCAACTGTGCCAATCCATCTCGTTGGGGGTCTTCCTCTTTTCACTAGCCCTCCACTTTACCAAGCATGATGTCCTTCTCCAGGGACTGGTCCCTCCTAATAGTATGTCTGATGTATGAGAGAAGCAATCTGGCCATCCTGGCTTCTAAGGAGCATTTTGACTGTACTTTTTCCAACACAGATTTGTTTATTTTTTTTGCAGTCCATGAGACTTTTAATATTCTCTTCTAACACCATAACTCAAATGCATCAATTCTTCTGTGGTCTTCCTTATTCACTGTCCAACTTTCACATGCATATGAAGTTATTGAAAATACCATGGCTTGCGTCAGGTGCACCTTAGTCCTCAAACTGACAGCTTGGCTCTTCAACCCTTCAAAGAGGTCTTGTGCAGCATTTGACTAATGCAATACATCATTTGATTTCTTGACTGTTGATTACAAGAGTGTTGATGGTGGATCTGAACAAAACAAAGTCTTTGACATCGTCAGTCTTGTCTCCATTAATCTTGATGTTATTTATTGGTCCAGTTGAAGGATTTTTGTTTTCTTTACATTAGGGTGCAACCCATACCAAAGGCTGTGGTCTTTGATCTTCATCAGTAAGTATTTTAAGTCCTCTTTGCGTTCAGCAAGTAGAGTTGTGTCATCTGCATATTGCAGGTTGCTAATGAGTCTTCCTCTAATTCTGATGCTACATTTTTCTTAGTGTAATTCAGCTTCTCTGATTATTTGCTCAATATACAGATTGATTAAGCATGATGAAAGAATATAACCTTGGTGCACATCTTTCCTAATTTTAAACCATTCAGTGTTCCCTTGTTCTGTTTGAATGACTGCCTCGTGGTCCTTGTACAGGTTCCTCATAAGCACAATTAAGTGTTCCAGAATACTCATACTTCGCAGGGTTGTCCATAGCTTGTCAATATCCACTTAATTGAAAGCCTTTGCGTAGTAAATAAAGCACAGGCAAACATTTTTCTGGTATTTTCTGCTTTCACTCAATATCCATCTGATGTCAGCAATGCTATCCCTCATTCCATATCCTCATCTTAATCCTGGCCTGAACCTCTGGCAGTTCTCTGTCAATGTACTATTGCAGCCATTTTTGAATTATCTTTAACAAAATTTAACTTGCATGCAATATTAATGATAATTGTACAATGATTTCTACATTACATTGGGCCACCTCTGTTTAGAATGGGCACAGATATGGATCTCTTCCAATAATTTGGCCAGGAAAATGTCTTCAAAATTTCTTGGCATAAGTGAATGAGTGCCTCCATTGCTGCATCAATTTGCTGAAAATTTTCAATTTGTATTCCATCAGTTCCTAGAGCCTTGTTCTTTGTTAATGCCTTTAGTGCACCTTGACTTCTTCCTTCAGTATCATTGACTCTTGATCATATGCTAAGTCTTGAAATGGTTGAACATTGACCATTTCTTTTTGGTATTGTGACTCTATATTCCTTCCATCTTCTTTTTTTTTCTTAAATGTTTTATTGTGCCTTCCATCTTCTTTTGATGCCTTCTGCATCATTTATGTTTTGTCCACAGAATCCTTCGATATTGAAATTAAGGCTTGAATTTTTTTCTTCCGTTCCCTCAGCATGAGAAATGCTGAGTGTGTTCTTCCCTTTTGGTTTTCTAACTTTGTCTTTGTCTTCTCAAGCTGCCCTTTGAAAATTTCTGTTCAGCTCTTTTACCTGCTCATTTCTTCATTTGCTTTAGCATCTGTATGCTGGAGAACAAATTTCAGAGTTTCTTCTGATATCCATATCGGTGTTTTCCTTCCTTCTTTTCTTCTTAATGATCTTTTGATTTCTTCCTGTATGATGTTCTTAGTGTCATTCCACAATTCTTCTGGGTTTGGTCATTAGTGTCTAATTCATCAAATCTGTTATTGAGATGATCTCTAAATTTAGGTGAGCTATGTTCTAGGTCATATGTAGTCTCTCGTGAATTTATTTTAATTTTCTTTAGCTTCAGCCTGAACTTGCATAGGAGCAATTGATACATTTGTTCCACAGTCTGCCGCTGGCCTTGTTTTGGCTGATGATATGGAGCTTTCCCACCATTTCTTTCCACTGATGTAATTAATTTGATTTATGTGTATTCCATCTGATGAGGTCCATGGGTATAGTCAGTCATCTTTTATGTTGTTTAAAAGGTATTTGCAGTGTAGAAGTCATTAGTTTTGCAAAATTCTATCATGCAAACTCCAGCATTGTTTGTATGACCAAGGCCATATTTTCCCATGACTTCCTTTCTCATTGTTTCCAACCTCTGCATTCCAATTGCCAGCAATTATCAATACATCTTGATTGCATGTTTGATCAACTTCAGACTGAAGAAGTTGTTAGAGTTCTTCAATTTCTTCATCGCTGGCTTTAGTGGGTGGTGCATAAATTTGAATAATAGTGGTATTAACTGGTCTTCCTTTTAGGCCTATGGATATCATCCTGTTACACACATCATCCTGTTACACACAGCATCCTGTTACTTCAAGCCTGATCTTGGAATGTTCTTTTTCATGATGAATGTGATGCCATTCTTCTTCAATTTGTCATTCCCAGCATAGTAAACCATGTGGCTGTCAGATTCAAAATGACCAATACCAGTCCATTTCAAGCTCACTAATGCCTAGGATATCAATTCTTATGCATTCCACATTTCATTTTGACAACTTCTAATTTTCCTAGATTCATACTTTGTACATTTCATGTGTGGATTATTAATGGATGTTTTTGACTATCTCTCCTAATTTTGAGTTGAAGCTCAAATCGCTATCAAGTCAATTCCAATGCATAGCAACTATATAGGACAGAACAGGGTTTCCAAGGTTATAATATTGGTGGAAGCAGACTGCCCCAGCTTTCTCCTGCAGAGTGAGTGCCTAGCGCATTCAGACTGCTGACCTTTCGGTTAGCAGCCATGTGCTTAATCACTGCACCACCAGAGCTTCTTAATGATGTATAATGAAAAAAAGAAAAAAAATGTGTATTTTTAGACTAGAAGGCACAATAATGATTTTTCAACCCTCAAAACTAATCCCTGTGTTTCACAAGGCTTTATCTTCATTTTTTTTATATCATTTCAGTTTTTTCAAAGATTCACTTATGTATCAAGTTGACATCTGTGTGTGTAAAGGAGCACTGTGTCTGTTTCTCAGCCGTCTGTGTATGCAGTGGAGTAAGGGAGTGTCAGTAGTGCAGCAAGTTACAACAAAGTGAGCACTTTGCTGCCTGGCAGTCAGTGTACATCGAGCTGGACTGTTGCAACAGTGTCCTGCCCGATCTTCCTGTCTTCAGTTTGTCCTTCCCTCTACTCGCTTTTCTTCTACCTCATTTCCCAGTGAGTTTTCGAAAACAGAAATGTGATTCTGTCATACCCTATTCCAAGGGCTTCCTACTACTTAAGGCAGGGAGCAAAAACTTTTAATTTGGCAAACATAAGCTTTTCAGGAGCAGGCTGCTTCTGACCTTTTTTTTTATGTCAAATTTAAAATATTTTCATAAATAATATATGAATGAGGATGACCAGCAATTATGGAAACAATATTATTTTCCATATGCTACAATGTAAAATAAACCATTTATGTCTGTTTACCTGTTTCTTGACATCTTTGTGGTCATGATATTTGTGTTCATATAAAAGACTGAATATGTATATTTGTATATGCATAAAATAGTACACATGTGGCTATGTAATATTCACCTCTTCCCACTCTGGAGGTTGCCGCAACCACTGTTAACACTTTAATATGTATCCTCTTAGTCTTTTTTCCTATGAATTTACAAGTGAATTTTTGTATATACACTGAGTTTTATTTTGTTACATAAAGGAATCATGCAGTATGCATTATAGATAGATATTTAAATCATGATAA